AGGGCTAATGCCTTTGGCTGTTACTGTATTTCATTACAATCAGATATTGACATCTCCAAGGGCCTCATTTATGAGTGCACTGTGTGTGCAAATTGTGTTGGCTTGTTTCGAAGCCTGGAGTCTGTTTATCAATTTTTATGTGTCTATTCACAAATTCTCAAAGTGCACATTCACAAATTCCTAAATGTAGACAAGTGTGCATAAGTACAATGTAAAATCATCACAGCAACCACTATTTTGAACGTTATAGCAAAATTCATATTTTAATCAATAACACAGTAATCTGTTAAAAATGATGCACCAATTAAAATAAAACTGCTTACTGCTTTGTAGTAGTCCAGCTTCAGATAGCTGAGGACCGCTCTCTGAGGCCTTTCCTAGATGTGTCACCAATAATTGCAGCTATTTTGTCATCTGTTGAATGGATGACACTAAAGTGGTACTCTGGCCCTCTGCCTGTGGCACTGATGTATTTTTCTGGAGGTTGTCTCTTCTGGGTCCTTTTTGATAAATGAGGACCCCACATCCTTGACTGTGACCCAGTGACCGGACGCCATAGGGCTCAAACCTGTCTATCACAGAAGTGCTCATTCTCTCTGTTTTGTGTTTGTCTCATCACCCTCTCTCATCTCTCTCCCTCTAAATGTCCCATCTTTTTCCCTTACCCCCCTTATTCCTCTCGCTCATTTCTATCCTCTTTCTCTCATTTTTTTGCCAGGCTGTGTTTGATGTCGATAAGACAAAAGGTCTGACCCTGGTAGAAATATGGGAGGGACTTACTCCCGAAGATATCAAGGGATGCACTGGCACAGATTTTGAGGTGAGTAATGTAACAGTTAGGCTACTAGCACTATGAAGTGTTTTTGGACTTGGGTTTATTAAACATGAAACTTGTCCTCTGTCTAATTTTTTCTAGGTGTCTCCCAACCTGAAGCCTATGCAGCAAATTTAGAGGAGCTTCCACTGGCCTCAGAGATGTGTTTTTGGTTTGTCACTTCATTTCTCTGTGATAAACATCAGGTTATTTAACAGCCTGAAATGGGTCAAATAAGCTTTTAAAAAACATACCTGGTTCAGCCAAGGTTTTCTTGGCAATCAGCATGCAGCTATCAAATATTTACCTCTGTATTATTAACTAAATTTGATTAACAGAAGTCCCTTTACACTGTTATTTTCGTGCTCTTAGAAGGAATGAAGAAAATTGCATTGTTACCTATTACACATTTAAGTTATTAATTTTTTTTTTTTACTTACGCGAGTCTTTTACGCAATCATCAGTTTGAAAATTGCTTTAAAAATATTGATATTATTTTGTTTATTTTTCCAACTTTACTATTATTTTTAAAAGAAATGATGCAAAAACTCTTTTGAATGAGATTTTCTGGAAAATAAATAAGAAAGGTCAAATATTTGAATCGTGAGACAATTTCCAGTGTTTTGGCTCTCGACACTATAACAGTAGATGTTAAAAGTAGCAATCGGTGTGCAGTTAAGTGGAAACAAGCAGTAATTCAAGAATCACAATATATAATATGAAACATTGCAACTTTTTATATCAGCTCCAGACCTCTCCCGCCTGCTTCATTGGTGAAGGAACAACAGTGGAATATGCGACACCATTTATTATTTGGTTGAACGACTACATATTATCCAACTGTAACTTGAATATGATTGATAAGCTGAAAGGCATGCCTGTGTCTCACTGAAATGTAATGAATGAAAACCAATGTCCTATAGGTCAAGTGAGTATTCATTTATCGTAGAACAAATATGTATGGAGTTGTTTTAAATTGTGCTGTGACATGAAAAGGAAAAAAAAGTTTGTAGATGAGGCTTCCAGTGTTGAATATGTTTTGTCTTTTTTTTTTTTTTTTAATAATGAAGATGATGAGCCATTATTTTACTATCAACCTCTGCCGTAATGTAGACTTGTCTATTTTTCTCAACTTCAGGTGTTTTGAAGCAGGTGGGCTTGTCAGATATTTCAACCAGAAAACATGAAGCCTTAATAATTTTTACAGAGACATTTGCTGTTCAGATGCAATTGTGTGTAAAATAAAATACAAGCTGGCGTGCAGAGTGAAGCAAACTACGTTTTTCTTTCTTTTTGAATAAGAATCTTGAAACCAGCAGATGTGTTTTCAAGTGATTTAGCTCATCGAGAGTTTTTGACGCACTACAGGTTAAAGCTTTGTGTGTGTGGATTAGAGCAGGGCGATATGGCCAAAAATATTTATCACGATATATATTTGAAAATTTGCGATAACGATATAACCGACGATATAATTGATGCGAGACAAAATACAACTCCACAACATTACTAGCGCAAAAAGACAACCTTCCATTTATTTTCACTTAAACAAGAAGCTGGTTTTTATGTACATTAAAGCTTTATAAAAATGTAACAGTGCAAATGCAAATTCCTTGCTGAAAGTTTAACCAAAAGGCATTTCCAGTAGAAATGGGCTGACATATCCTGAGCATAACCATGTATAATATCCACTGAAGTTAAAAAGAGGTGCTTTGCAACATTAAACTGCAGTGTGCAGTACGTATTTTTCGGACCATAAGGTGCACGGGATTATAAGGCACATTAAGCGAAACAAAGCAGTCAGATAAATCAAACTTTATTAAACTCATTCTTCTTGCTTCCTCCACTTCTGTACCATTGATTCATTAATGTTGAATTCTCTGGCAGCTGCTCTATTCCCATGTTGTTGCAGTATATTAATGACTAACCTCGTATTGTGGATGGATTATCTCAGTTGTTCTCCTGACTGAAGTTTGGTCCGTTTACAGCATCCTGCCATGCGATTGCATTTGTCTCTAACCATGAAGAACCTTCACGTTAACTTTTATAAGTGGAAAAGTGTTAGTGTTCGTCCTCCAGCTTCACTGTTTATGTTATGCTAACATAGCTGTGTCGCTAGCGATCACGTAGCACATCATTATATACCAGCTAGCCCAACTTCAGTAACCCTACAAACGTCACTGCTGTTTAGTTTCCTGTCTTCATTTATGTTGGAAGTGATAGCAGAGCTGTACGTTTGATTTTTTTCAGAAATCTCTCAGTCAGAACATGCTATATCATGCTTAGGTAACTAGCGAAACTAGCGAGCTAACTTCCGCTAGCTTCCTGCTAACTTCTAACTCCGTTAAATGTAATAACTTTTGTTTTCATGGATGCCTGGAAGTTAAACTTTATAGTTACACCTGGTAAAGCAGCAATGCTGATCGTTTTATTAAAGATGAAAGAATTTAGACAGTTTTTAACTCTCAGTGATGCTGCAGTGTTGTTTGACCTGAAGCATACGGAGTTTAGGACCCAGATTACTCCCAGATTTAAGAGCATCTTAGTCCGACAAATACGACAATAACGACGGCCGCTTGCATGTTCTGCAAAAAAATGTGCTTTGTTGTGTATCTGACGGACAAACACCAAACCAGTTCCACATCACTGAAGTTGCACCATTTTTACAAACCAATTCTGGTTCATCTGTTTCACTCAACAATCGGCCATGTGCGTATGAAAACAAAGGCACTGCGCATGCGCGTTTTACTCCCATTCTATCGCGATATTTCATTTTCCTATCGTTGCCTAACATTACCGTGAACGGTATAATATGGCCCAGCCCTAGTGTGGATGGTGGGCTTAATGTTTACATTCTCGATTTGATTTTTCCACTCGGGCAGAGAGGTGCTGGCATAACCAGAGGCCCGTTACATAACCTGCGAATTCAGCCAGTAGGCTTTTGGGTTCAAGGAGATCAACTGGGTTGGATCATCAAGCAGAAAAATGGAAGAAAGTGACAGGGGCTCCAGCCACCGGCTGTTGATGTTAATCCAGCACACTCCTTCATGAGTCAGACCAAAGCAATACTCCATAAGCCTACATTTTGTAACCTAGTTCTCATACTTGTACTTGAATTCACTGAAGAGGGAATTTGAAGAACGCAGCGGGTTTTAGTAGGAACATGTTTCTGAAAAATACAAATGGATGACCTTGCTTTTGAGGTTTTCAAAAGGGGATATTAAAATGGGTTTTCAAGATTTAGTTAAAGGGACAGAAGTCCTTTTTTAAGGTTCAGGTTTGTGGCAACCAACCTGAAATATTGTTGAAAGCTGACTCTGACATTAACAGCTGTCATGAATTAGACATTTTATTTTATATGATGGCAATTCAGATCCCTTTTTTTCTTTTTAAATATGTATATTGTTCATTTGAACACTGGGTTTAAGGTCAACCAAGGCAAAGCCTATTATTTGAGAGACCTATGTTTATATTGGGAGACATGGCAGTGATTAGTGATTATGCACAGTATTTATGACAATATTGATCTTTTTTCTGTGCTTTTGCTGGCAATGGTTTTATAAACCGTTCCTCTCGTGACACTCCTCCAAACACATAATTGTAGAAAACAGAACCAGATGGGAAAACGACAACAACAAAAAAACCTGATTTTGGCAGAGAAGTCAGTCATCTACTTTGCTGTCATTTAGGTAATAAATTCCGTGGAGTGTTTGGACATCATGATACAGACCATGAAAGACAAGGTTTTGTATATTCTCCATCTTTATACCATTACAACCTATTTTCTGAATGACTCGTGTTAAGCTGGCCAGCCAACTGATTGTAATCACACTGATTATGCAGAATGGGTCATTTTCATATAGCTTTCAGTGATTCAAGTGCATGACCTTAGCTCAGACATAGGTTAACTAGGAATTAGAATTTAATCTGTGACCATCTTATGTTAAAACCCTACACTAACTGAACCTTTTCGGATAATGCACATATCCAGTCCTCTAAAAAGATGGCTTTAAATGTCCAAAATGTTCTAACCTCAGTAAAAGCATGTCTTGAATTATGGAATCAGCTTGGCAGACCTTTTTACATAGGCTATTCATATCCAACTATGTGGTTCCAAAATATTTAACATGCTGCCCTCATGTGGGGGTGTTCTGGCAACCTTATGGGTTTGTGTAGTCTAGCATTCATGCTCTGTGCATTAATGCTAAAAACATGAGATGATTATATGTTGCCTTTTATTTTGTAAGTGACTAGTACTGAAACATACCCATTGCGGCGTTTAGGCTATGTTACTATTGGGCGACTAACCACCGAATGTTGCCATATTTAGATCCATCCAACCGCATTTTCATAAATGTGCAACACGCCTATGTGTGCTGCTGGGGGGGCTGACTTCTCGGTCGCGCAGTTGTGTCTATGTGTGTGCGTGAGATAGGGATGCTGAGAGAAAGTGAGGCAGGGCGCGAGTGTGTCTGTGTGTAGAGAGAAAGAGAGAGCGCGCGCTCCAGGTTGGCGCAGGCACCGGTCAGGGAGAACGGAGCGTTGTGCAAGGTGGAAGCATGGCTTCGTCTCACGGGAGAAGCGACCTGCGGTTCGCAGACTGGATGGCAAGTTTACCGCAGAGCATGCACACTATCCCGCTCACCAACCTGGCTATTCCCGGTAAGTGTTTTTTTTTTTAAGACCTTGTCCAAGTGTAATCGGATGAGGAGGATGCCCGTGTCTTTTTAACCTCGCGCATTGCGTACAGCTTTTCTAGTACATTAGAAATGCACAAATTGACAGTTTCAGATTTGTATTTTACCGCTTCCTAAACTTGAATTGTGCATTTAATACAACCGTCACTTTCGTTGCACCTCGTTGGAACAAAGGGTAAGACCTGTTGCGCAACCAAAGAAGTACTATGTAGTTCAGTTGCTTGTGTTGCGATCACCTGTCTAACGGTTATCATAATACCCAGCTGTCGTGTTCGTTCTCCGGCCGAGTAAGTATGCACTTAGAAAATAATGATAATAAAGAAAAGGGTCATCTAGAACCACTCTATAGGTTCAGAATAGATGAGCCACGCTGCTCTGTTTGTGCTTTTATGCTGGGGTGGTGGCCACAGGGAGACGGAGTGGGATGGGTGCCGTCTGCACACTCAGATGATCACAGCGCATCCCATTGAAAATGTGCTGTCGGACCTTTATCCAATCAGTGCGCCGGTCTTTTTAACTCCATTCAAATGGGAAATGCTGGTTGTATAGCCCACCACTGATCTGACTGATAGAATGTCTTATTAGCAGCCAGTTAAATCCATATTCACTGCCTAGCGATTATCACACCTCCACACAAAGCGATTCGATTCTTCATTCTTGTGAATTTCTAATCCTTTGTGCTTCATTCCCTTTCCCCCTCCTTTCTGTCTCACTTTCACTCTTCCGCTCTCTCAGTCTTTTTCTTGCTGAACTCCCAATACTTGAGGTGTTTATTGGTTGGCATGTGCAACATTGCATTTCACATGCAGATGGATTAGTGGTTGATGTCCAGGGCACGGCATATGACCAAATATGATCACAGCTTTTAAGGATGCCAAGACACATGCAGTCAAATTAGATGTAATGGAATACAAATAAGGACTGGAACAACATAGTATGCATAATCTACGCTTGTAATTTTGCTGAATCATGTGCTGTGCAGAATCACAGTTCATCCATGCCAAGACAGCATGGGAACATGCTCTGTCCCTTTTAATTAGGCATTAATATCTCTCATTGGTTCTGTGGCCTGCAGCTCAGCTGAGGATAGCTCAGTTTATCCTTCATTTGGATACAGATTCTGTAAACATCCACCAAATCTTTGCACTTTCTTGTGTTTGCCTGCACATATTTGCCAAGAAACTCCAGAACACACAGGATTTCTATCCAAGCTCATTATAGCAACAACCATGTGTTCCTATTGGAGTGTACGTCCGAGTTCTTTCAAAAGTGTGCATCTCATATCACATTCTTTTGTCTCATCATTGAATGCAGCATTAAGCCTTTGTTCAAGCAGGAATAAAACTGGGACAGACAAGAAACAAAAAGGATGGGCGATTCATTTCCTCAAACAAGTCTCATAGCTCCATTTAATTGGAAGAATATTATTTCCAGGATGTTACTGGAAAATGCTGCTGTACAAAACTTATTATACAAGCTGCTGCCTTTTTCTTAGTTTATTTTTCTGTGCTCACTTTTTTAAAATAGCAATTCACCTACCGCAGAGCTTGAAATATCCAGGGAAAAGTAGTACTTTACAGTGTAGGATAATGTGATGGCTGCTACTCCGCTGTTGCCAGAAAACTTCACAGTCTAGCTGTTAGCACACATAACCATCTGAATGATTGACAGTTTATTTTAGGGTACTGAGGTGGCAGATTCATTACTGTCGGATTTTTTTTATATATATATAATGTTTTAACAGCATTTGCTGTGCTTCAAGTAACTGGTTAATGAGCTAATGCTGCCAAATTATTTGTGCATATAGCACATTAAAGATACTCAAAGTAGCAGGTGTTTGACGGCTACAACAGCTGTATAACAGATGTGTAACAGATTGCATGTGCTTACCTGTTACATTTGAGTGGTTCAACCTGCAAAATCTTGTTATGAAAGCAGTTTATATGCTATAGTACATATGATGCTGACTGTGGTTGTTCACTCATTTTAAATTCCTGCTATTTCTTGTTACTTTGTGTGATTGATAGACAATTCAAATTACAATGAGACTGATCCAGTGACGGTAAACTTAGCAATGTCACCTACCTCTGTCAAGTGAACTTAAATACAGGTTATTTACAGTATTTAAATATGAGAGATATTAACAGATAAAAATCTGTTTTCATTTAGAGGCACTTAATGAGATTGCACGGCTAGATCCATATAGTTTTGGACACAGACACAATTTGTGTTCTGTCCATCTGCACTGTAAAGTGTCATCCAATGAATTTTGCTGCGCAACGTATTCCCATGCATAAGGAGCCTAAAACATATTTAATAAACGATGTTGTATACTATGAATCTTGGACAAAATATCAGGTGTATGTTCTCAGAGCAGCCAGAGTAAGAAATGAGGGTTGGAAAAAAACACAGCATTTTTTATCCTGAGAGATGGTTGCAAAGGAAAGTATTCCTTAACCTTTTGCTCTTCCAGGTAAGGGGCAAAACACTGCAAAGTTTGATCCTGAATGCCAACAACATGGTCAAGACAATCTGAAATAGAGGAATGATCAATTTTGTCAAACTTAGCAGGCCCAGCTGAATTGAAATTGCATGATTTACCGAGTTCAAAAACACATGTGAATCATTTGACACTTAAAGGAGAGCTGACTCAGTGTGGTTGTGAAACCTGGAGAAGATTTGTCCAGAAAAAAGAAATGAGCTGTGCACAGAGCTTTTTCTTTCATTCTAGAATTACAGTATATAACAATAGTACTGAGGAAGGGTGTTATCTGAGGGAGTCAGATTTAGATGTTTTTAACTGGATGACACTGGGACAGCTCTTGTCCAGTTTATTTGGAATAACTGCACATTTCTAATTTGTTTGTTTGTTTGTTTGTTTTATGCTATGACTCATGACTGAGCACAGTTGCGTTGTGGCTGTTTGATTAATTATGTGAGAATAATACATGCTCTCATTTTCTTAATCCTGCTAATCCACTGCAGACTACCTTGTTTGAGACCTAAGAACATGGTAGCACTTAGGCATGACTCAGCTTTCTGCATTGTCCCTACATGCCACTTTGGCCTCCGGCTGTGCCGGCATATCGCATCTATAAAAGTCAAATGGCTTGTGCCTATACTAATTGGAACTAGGTTGAAGGGCTGTGCAGGAGAGGAAAGAAAGACGTAGTAGAATATTAAATATTTGGGTCATTGAAGGGAGAGATGGTGAGGGAGAGGGAGCAGCTACCTTTCTTGTTTTACCCAGGCTGATTAGTGTTTGACTCTTTTCCTGTGGCTACTGTTAAATCTGCCAGGTGAGGGCTGCAGACTGGCTGGCTGCGCATTCCTCTCACCAAGACGGTCAGCAGAAAGGTGTGCCACCAGAGATACTGTGAATTTCTTTCTCTGTCACCATGAAACGAGCTTAAGAGGGGGAAGGGAAGATCTGTCACGGTTTTACTACCATAGTAATTAAAATGGATTTTCAGTACTTTGTGTGGTGGTAGGTGTATAATTTGAACTATGTGCTCACTGGCATGTACAATATCTGTGTCGTGCAGGTGTGCATGACAATAAGTGAATCAGCACTATAGCAGCAACACAGTATTAGTCACTTATTATGAAATGCTTTTTATGGGTTTATTTAAGCACCTAAAATATTCAAATGTATTGTCTTAATACATTGAACTGGTGAGTGAAAACATATCATTCTGGATTGTTAAAGCTACATTAATTAATATTCAGCGATTATGAATCAGAAGAACTGCAAAATAGACTGCTAGCATGCAATTTATATACATTATACATTTATTATTTATATTATTTTTGCCTTAAACAAAGACTTTAAAACACCCTTAAGAACTAGCAGCTGAAACCCGTTTACATAGACTTTCTCAGTTACTTTAGAAAGCGATGCAATCTCAACTTTTAGTTTTTTTTTACTGTTTTTTTCTTATTTCAGAGTACAATGATTAAATGGTGCATCATTCTATTGTGATAATTTGGTCAACACACTTTTTAAGTACTTTATTTACTTCACGCCCGTGGCCGGTTTCAAATCACCAATTAACCTAACGTCTTTGGACTGTGGGAGGCAGCCTGGAGAAAACCCACTCAAACACAGGGAGGACATGCAATCTTGTCCTCCCTGTGTCCTCCCTTGCTGTGAGGCAAAAGTACTAAGCACTATAACACCGTGCCGTCCCATTCCATTCCATGCAGATAATATTGATTATTTTAATACCGGGGAAGAAGGCTGATTTACACTTCTGTATACTACATTTTCAGGCTCAGGGGAGCCATTCTTCACCTCCTGAGTAACAGCTCAAGGCTTTAGGTAAGCAATGAATAGCATGAATTACCAAGGGGGATGGGTGAAGGCAGTGGTATTAGGTTAAGATAGTCTTGCAAGAAATAACAACCAATCCACTGTAGAAGAGGCATCTTGAGTTTCAGTGGTTCCCTCTGGATAGAGAAAAAGGCTTGCCCTGGACTTTTAGCTGTAAAAGGCCATTAGTCCCCTGATTAGATCACTTTGACGCCACTTAAACCCCTATAGAGCAAGATGGATGAATGGTATTAGATGCCAAGATAAACACTGCTAGTGCGGATGTTTGAAGAGGGGGAGTCAGTCAACTCAAAGCCACTGAAAAACAGGATATAATGTGCAATACAAAAGCAAAAGGGGGGTCTTTGTTAGAGAGAGAGAGAGAAAGAGAGAGAGAGAGAATGCCCATCTTAGAGCTATTTCCTGCTATGGCTCTTTATCTGTGAATCAAGACCCTCCTTAATCTGAGTGAAATTTTGTTTTGCCAAAGATATTGTGTGCATCTTGCTTGTTTGGAGCTCATGAGGATTTTACAGTTAGCAGTTTTGCAAAGAATTCCCTCGTTTGCAGTATTGTATTATGCTGATGCATGATACTCATAATTAGCCACTCATTAGCCAACATCATATATTTGTGGAGTTTTCACTTGGTTC